TAGATCAGTGGGTGAAGACGTACCAGATAGATACATCTACTGATGGTATAACATGGACAACTTATCAGGAGAACTGGGCTATAAATCATTTTTGCTTCCAAATCAACAGATATTCTACGGTAACCATGATCGTTCAACTGCTGTACGTCGCGTTCTTTACCTTGGTATTATTACAAGATATCTACGTATTGTACCCAAGRCATACCAGACTAGTTCACCCTGCTTGAGGACAGAGGTCTATGGATATCCTTTCCAAACAAGTGAGAATATTTGATATKTACCTAATTGWAAAAAYGTAGTCGGGTTCGAGAAGGTCATATCATCGAAGMTAAARACCGAAAAGGATTTTGGGTACTCCGAAATGTGTRTTATATTTGCATATAGACATGTAAAAATGCACAGTARAGCAAAGTYGGTYGACCTAGATTAACAACATGCCAAAGCCATGATGCATAAAATGTGCACAGAAARGGAAAACTGCAATACGCATAACATTAGCACAATTGTTTGTCTTCCCATGCTCCCCTTCGGTCTTAACTTTGATGATATAACCTTTTTTTGAACCCGACGTTTTTTCAATTAGGTGTATTCGCCGAGTCGAGATGCCACAACATTTTTCGCTTTTACTATTGATATTTTCCAGGATTCCATTTTCAGTCTACAGATCCCATTCATGACCTTCCTTTTAATTGATTTTATTTATTTCGATTAATAATTAGTTTCCAATAAAGATGTTTRAAAAAATACATTCCCTTATCTAACTCCTCGAACTCCCCTGCATCGTTATCAAAGATCCTTTACATACTAAGTTTTTAATATTTTGCATACACGATATTTTGTGTCAAAGTCATTCATCTCACCAATTCGAGTTCTTTTAAGCGTCTTTTGTAGTAAGGGGGAATGACTTTGACACAAAATATCGTACTGAGTAGACTTGGTTTACCAATGAGGCCTTACTTACCTCGCTTCCATTCAATTGTCCCTAGTCTGGATCYCAACCGAGTTTGGCGGCTAGTTTTGAAAGTCGTGTATAGTCCTGCACTTTCAATATCCCACATATTTTTGACTTTCAAACTTTCTCCTGTTCAGGTTGTCCTAGCCACAGTGTTGGAATACCCGATCCTAGTTTGGTACATAATCACAGGTTTACATCAACACCATATTATTTTGGTTACGAACCTTTTAAAGGACGACTGGGTGGTAGCAAAGCCTGGGCTCCGTATACAAAAAATACACCTGGTGATTATCTACAGATTGATCTTAGTGCTGTGTTCTATATATGTGCTGTAGCTACTCAGGGGGCTGGGGAAAGTTCCAAGTTTCAATGGGTGAAAAAGTATCAAGTATTGTACTCAACAAACAACCAGCTTTGGACAACATATTACAATAAGTCTGGAGATAAAGAGGTAATGCTTAGAAACCAGCCATCGTAGAAATTTTCAATTCTCAGAGGTGTAGACTTTAACTTTAAATACCTTACTATGATTTCGCTAATACTCCTTTTTTACAGTTCCATTCAGTGACCACGAATAAGAGTTCCTAGCCGAGGCTGGAGGTTCCACGCATAGCAAAACTACAGTTTATCATGTGCGGTAACTCCAGCCTCGGCTAGGAACTATTATTCGTGGTCACTGAATGGAACTGTAAAATGAAGTATTTGGCATACGTATTTATTTACTATAAAACGATCCAACTAGAACAAATTAAACATAAAATACAATTAGAAGATGGAAGAAAACGAACAAACTTGAACTGGAAAACTAAGAGAAATACTTACATACGTTGGCGAAAAATAACTTGCACTGTAWCTATGACTTGAACTGTAACTGACTAAATTTACGAACAAAGGCTGACTTTAAGGAGAAATTAACATAACGAATACACAAGAGACTACGAAGGGATTACAACGAACGGTACAACGAGAAAAAAAAACCAACCTAACAATATTAATTAATTAATTCTACAGCTTGTCATTAATCCCATATAGGTAACTGTCCAATTATTTTCTTAATTGGACAGGTCTTGTTGATATGGGATTAATTAGGCAGCTATATAATTAATAGGTAATGGGATTTCATGCTCCTCAATCAAGAAATAATTAGACTCAAAAAATTCCCCTGACTGACAAATTGGACTCGGCCTACGGCCTCATCCAATTTTGTCAGTCCTAGGAATTTTCCTCGTCCAATTATTTCYTAATTGGACAGGATGAAGTCCTATTACATATACTAATTGACCGCTACAAGAGGTGTTTTGACTAAGTCGAATTGTGAATAAACCTTTTTACTGCATGATGCGGCGGGAAAAAACTCTTTATCATTGAGCTTCCTTTCACGGCTACCATCACGTGATTAACTTCTCATGATCATTTGTAAACCTTATTTGGCTTCAAGACGATTTAACAAAAGGGTATTTCAGTTTAGAGTTTTTGACAATGAAATCCGGTTACTCCGTTTAACAAGTTCACACTTCGCACCATCTGTTGTCTGTGAGGCAGACCCACGAGTTAGCATCGTCCCGTATCCTTCCTCGATTTTCCTAAGTTTTTCTTTTTTCACTTGTCGTTTTTTCTTTTCTTCTTCAAAAATGTTCATGTCGAATTCGTCATAAAACGACGGCCTTTTTGTTTTCCGCTTTTCCGCACAATCCAAATATGAAATTGATCATACCATATATGGAGTGAGCTTTCTCTCACCAACTTCGACACTAATTAACATATAGAGTAAAGCGAACACGAGTGAAAAACTTCTGCGCATGCTCTGAATCCGTATGCAAATTAGTCAAAACATAAGTAAATTTGATTTTCAAACATGCCTAATAAATTGGACTTCACAAAATGCCAAAACGNCTTCTTTTCATTTTTTCGAAAATCTAACCTGCTGATTCCTTCTGGGAACGCCTTCGATCCACAAAAACATTTACGGGCTGGTGATATCCGCATATATGAATGGGGCTTGATGCTGATTGTACGTTGGTCTAAGACCATTCAATATCGAAATAGAATCCTACTTGTGCCCGTTCCAAGAATCGATGGCTCAACACTTTGTCCGCGTGCTGCGATTATCAACGCTTTCGAACTAGCTGGTATCAGAGACAGTGTCTCACTACAAAACAATATACCTGCTTTCATTTACAAACAAAATGGCCAACTCAAACCACTAACTTACGCAACATTTACTCAAAGGCTTAAGACAATTATCGCTCATTGCGGACTCGATAGCCAGTTATACTCAGGACACTCCTTCCGTAGAGGAGGGGCAACCTTTGCATTACAATGTGGTGTCCCTGCGCATTACATAAAACTCCAGGGAGATTGGCTCTCAAACGCATATGAACGGTATTTAGATAGCTCTTTAAAATACAAGCTACAAGTAGCAAACATGATGGGCACAGCTATTACTCACTGACTACACATACTCATTGGGGGGTCTTGGGATTGGGGGATATTGCAATTGGTCTCGCACAATAAATGACCCGAGTAACCCCAACGAGTGTTGTGTATTTAGTGAGTGATAGACATGTGTTTATCATGATTAAATAACTAGGCGAGGCAGGATGTGCGGTGAGCATAGAAAGCAAGGGCTTCATAGTTGGCAGCCAGTTGTTCATGTTGTCAGCAAGCTAGCGTTCAAGAAATCAGCTTAGAAATTTTTTTTTAAATTTTTATTACTCTCTGTAACCCCCCGGGGGATATTGCAATTGGTCTCGCACAATAAATGACCCGAGTAACCCCAACGAGTGTTGTGTATTTAAAACTAATTACGATTTATATTGACGGCTAGTTGGGAGAAAATATATTGGGTATTGGGCGGATTTGCGAGGCCGTCAATATTTCGTGGTATTGTTGTCTCAAAATCGTAATTACTTTTGTATCGCAATTCTAAAGAATTTAACATACAAAAAAGGAAATAAAAACTGACCAATTTTCTTTGATTAAAAGCGAGATTCGCTTTACGAGCGCGCACTATGGCGCAAGCAATAAGCGTAAAAATTTGACGCGCGCGCGTTCAAGCTTTCGTTTTCGTCGATCGTTAGCCAATAAGAAACCTTAATTTTGAAACGACAATACCACAAAATATATTGTCGTCTCAAAAATATATGAAACTATTTAGTGAATCGCGATACTCCTTTATATTTCCTTCAAGGTTGCACTTCATCGCTTGGTCTTGAGAATTCACAAATACCAGATTCACACTTAACGTCATCCTCATCCTCGGACAATTCCCATACTGCACCACGTGGTCGTCTGTATGGCMGCTCGTCATGGTGCAGCCAAACAAATGGTAATAATGAGTACATACAGGTTGACCTTGGACTGGTCAAGACAGTGGCAGGTATTGCAACACAAGGTAACCCAGATATGGATGCATGGGTGACGTCTTATAAAGTTGGTTACAGCTTTGATAACACATACTGGAATGAGTACAAAGAAGGACAGGTCGTTAAGGTAATATAGATTACTTGCATTGATCTCCTAGAGGAATTGTT